TAGAATCACACGGACGTGCTGCTCCACATGAGAAAGAAAAAATTCAGCAAGCCTTGCACATGGTGCCCCCCGGCAAGGGACTCACACACACACACACACACACACACACACACACACACACACACACACACACACACAAATACACACACTCACAAATGCACGCAGCTGTTTGTATTAAACAATAGTGAAGCGTCTGCCTGACTCTTTCACACACACACTGAGTGGCAGTGAGTAAGGAGGATGAAAAGAAGAGGGAAAAGAATGGAGGGGTGAAGAGGGGCCCACAGGGAGGGAGGGAGAGAGAGAGAGAGAGAGAGAGAGAGAGAGAGAGAGAGAGAGAGAGAGAGATTGCTATGATGATTAAATTCAATTTCATTATATTGTTTCAGTTCAGTTTATTATGATTTGATTCTTGTGCTATAATTCTGTTCAAATTGACTCTTTTGGTACAGTTCAATTCAATTTGATTCTTTTAGTATAGTTCAGTTTGATTTGATTCTTTTTGTACAGTTCAGTTGGATTTGATTCTCTTAATACAGTTCAGTACAATTTGATTCTGTTGGTACAAGTAAATTCAATTAGATTTTATTGTACAGTTCATTTCATATGAGTCTTTTAGTACAGCTTGTTTCATTTCGATTCTTTTGGTAGAGTTCAATTTGATTTGATTCTTTTGGCACAGATCAGTTCTATTTGATTCATTTGGTACAGATCAGTTTGATTTGATTCTTTTAGTACAGTTCAGTTCAATTTGAGTCTTTTGGTACAGTTCAGTTCAATTTGAGTCTTTTGGTACAGTTCAGTTCAATTTGAGTCTTTTGGTACAGTTCAGTTCAATTTGAGTCTTTTGGCACAGTTCAGTTCAATTTGATTCATTTGGTACAGATCAGTTTGATTAGATTCTTTTAGTACAATTGATTTCTATTTGATTCATTTGGTACAGTTCAGTTTGATTAGATTCTTTTAGTGCAGTTCATTTCTATTTGATTCATTTGGTACAGTTCAGTTTGATTAGATTCTTTTAGTGCAGTTCATTTCTATTTGATTCATTTGGTCCAGTTGAATCCAGTCTTATTCTTTTATTTATTTCGAGATGCATACTTTACTGAATATAACTGAATATTACTACCATCATAATTTTAAAAAATGATTCAAATGATTAAAATTGCAAAAATGCAGTTGAACCATCAACAGATCAATGTGTCAAAATACTAATACTGCATTATATGTTGTGATACGCCTCCTGAGACATCACTCTGCAGGCCAGTATCGCAATAACTGTCAACAAACGATATATTGTGCAGCCCTGACCACGACTAAATATGGTGATGCCAATAAAGCAGACTGAACTGAATTAAAATTGAGAGAGAGACTGGAACTGAGAAGAGAGAAAGAGAGAAGAGAGAGAGAGAGAGAGAGAGAGAGAGAGAGAGAGGGTCTCCAACCTGAATGAAAAACCACAGTGGTCTTCTTGCAGGCTGCCGGCAGCTGTAGGTTCCGAAAAAGCCCCTTAGCCGTGAGCTTAACATGGAAGTTGGACAGCGAGAGCCGAGGAGACCACAGCATGGTCCAAAACAACACACACACACACACACTCAGAGACGACCGGCGGAACAGAGCACAATCCAGCTAGAGCTGCTCCTCCATCAGAGCTCACAGCTCCATTCGTCTCAAAGAGCCGTCAGATCCGCGTTTACAATCAAGTCTGTGACGGATGAGAGAGAAAAACAGCACGGCATTCGGTCGAGGAGGAAAAAAAAGAGGGGGAAACAAGCCGGATAAGCCCCTCCCCCCCGCCTCAGACGTCAGGTGGATGGAGACGGAATCGCCACGGCAACCACAGGAGCTGTCCAGGGAGCAGAAGTGTTGAATGGAAATACTACTATGTACTGAATCACTCTGTAATATATGCAATGTACTGCTTACATACTAAATACTGTATACTAAATACTGTATACTAAATACTAAAGCCCACACGCTCGTCCGCGACTAAACATTCTGTCAGCATCCCTCTGAAGCTGAAACATACACATACACACACGGGGGGAGGGGAGCAGTGTGTGCAGGAATGGGTGGGGCGATGAATAATTATAATCTCTCGCCCTCTCTCTCTCTCTCTATCTCTATCTCTCTCTCTCTCTCCATTTCGAGATAACAGTGAAAGCCGGCGCATGTGAAGGTTACAGAAGGTGAAGTACAACATAAACAAAATCAAATGAAAGCAGTCCAGGGTTCAATATTAGTTCAATATGAATTGAATTCCACAAACCAAAGGAATTGCAAAAAGCAAAATAAAAAGAATCCCAAAAAGCAAAAGAATGGAATCCCAAAGGCAAAAAAATGGAATTCCAAAAAGGGAAAGGAACAGAATTCCAAAAAAGCAAAAGGAGTGGGATATCAAAAAGCAAAAGGAATTGAATTCCAAAAAGGAAAAGCAACGGAATTCCAAAAAAGGGAAAGGAACACAATTCCAAAAAGCAAAAGGAGTGGGATTTCAAAAGGCAAAAGGAATTGAATTCCAAAAAGGAAAAGCAATGGAATTCCAAAAAGGGAAAGAAATGGAATTCTAAAAAGCAAAAGAAGCAGAATTCCAAAAGGCAAAAAGAATGGAATTCCAAAAGCAAAAACAAATGGAATTCCAAAAAGCAAAATGAACAGAATTCCAAGAAGGGAAAAGAACAAAATTCCAAAAAGCAAATAACAGAAAGGGATGGTTTTTAACAAAAAGCAGAAAATGATCAACCAACTTCTAAGACTGAACTTTGGAGGTGTGTCTGCAGATTTACTTAAGGAGCTGAAAGTGAGTCTCCTGAGAAGAATGGAAGCTGGAATAAAGATAAAGAGTGAAACACTGAAAACTCAAACATCTGATATTAGATTTAGTTACTGAGTCTAAATACGGTAGAGAGGGAGAGAGAGAGAGAGAGAGAGAGAGAGAGGGACAGGGAGAGAGAGAGAGCGAGAGAGGAGAGAGAGAGAGAGAGAGTGAGAGAGAGAGAGAGAGAGAGAGGAGAGAGAGAGAGAGATGGAGAGGGAGAGAGAGAGAGAGAGGGAGAGAGAGAGGGAGTGAGATAAATAGAGAGAGGGACAGGGAGGGAGAGAGAGCGAAAGAGAGAGAGAGGAGAGAGAGTGAGAGAGAGAGAGAGAGAGAGAGAGAGAGAGGAGAGAGAGAGAGAGAGAGATGGAGAGGGAGAGAGAGAGAGAGGGAGAGAGAGAGGGAGTGAGATAAAGAGAGAGAGGGACAGGGAGGGAGAGAGAGAGAGAGAGAGGTAGAGAGAGAGAGAGCGAAAGAGAGAGAGCGAGAGAGGGAGAGGAATACTGATGAGACTCTTTTGTGGATACAGGCTCTGAGCAGTGAGTGTGAAAGCTGTGCTTTTATGCCATTGTGTTTCTCAGACAGACAGACAGACAGAGCAGCTGCTTTACTCTGAATGCAGCCAATCAGACGTGTTCGGTTTGCTTCTTTAGTTTTGCACTGGAGCTACGAGGCTAATGCAGCACGTAATGGAGGCGAATAATCCACCAATTAGCACAGAGCTGCAGGACTAAATCAGCACATGCTCATGTAGCTTCTGAAACTGTTTGATACACTAAAAATGAATTTTTGTCGATGTTTCTAGCAGCAGCTGCTGTTTCTGGGGAATAAAGCTACATTTTCCTTTATGTTGGATTCAAGCTCAAAAAATGATCCAAAGAATTCAGCCCGAGGCTGCAAATGAAGATACATCATAAAAGTATCAGCTTAAATTTCTGGGAAAATTTCTAATATTCCTAATTCCAAAAATTAATGAAAATCCCCAAAATAAAATGCCTGTAATTCCAAAAAGACAAAAGGAATGGAATTCCATAAAGGGAAAGGAACAGAATTCTGAAAAGCAAAAGGACTGTAATTGCCCAAAATGAAAGGAACAGAATTCCAAAAGCAAAATGGAATGGAATTCCAAAAATGGAAAAGAACAGAATTCCAAAAAGGAATTTCTTGACAAATCAAATGTTTTAACTAGCAGCATCAGATACATCACAATTAAACACAGTCAGTTTTTTAAACCCCACCCTGCACACTTTCCAAACCAGAGCTCAGACCTGAGGACAGACGCTCTACAGACAGACACAGTAAAGCTCTCTCTCTCTCTCTCTCTCTCTCTCTCTCTCTCTCTCTGTCTCTCTCTCTTTCCCTCTCTCTCTCTCTGACTCTCTCTCCCTCTCTGACTCTGCCTCTCTCTTTCGTAAACACGCTCTCTGACACGTATCTCTGACTATGTGAGCGTTTTGCCTCAAATGCCTTCAGTTTGACTCAGCAAGACCCATGTGTGTTGTGTGTGTGTGTGTGTGTGTGTGTGAAGGAGAGATGTTCTTAATTAAAATACTACTCTAAAATGTCAGAGAACACACCCACACACCCACACACACACACACACACACACACATACACACACTCACACACACACACACACTCACAGACCACAGCTGCTTTGAACCCTGTGGAGTCACACACTGTGGTTTGAAGTGAGTGTTTGAATGTTGTGTCAGAGTCATTCTAGTAGACACAGAGCTTCCTTTCTCTGTCTTACCCCCACACACACCCATACACACACACACACACACACACACACACACACACACACAAAGCTCTATACTCCAGCAGCACTGCTGCATCTGATCCACTCGCACCAGCACAACACACACTAACACAGCACCACCACGTCAGTGTCACTGCAGTAAGGACAATGATCCACCGCCCAAATAATACCTGCTCTGTGAGGGTCCTGTGGGGGTCCTGACCACTGAAGAACAGGGTAACAAAGTATGCAGATAAACAGATCAGCTACAGTCTGTAACTGTAGAACTACAAAGTGCCCCCATGTGGTCAGTGGTAAAATGTACGTAATGCATGTTAATGTCAATCATTTCCAAACCTGGAAGAGTCTAACCAATCTTTATGGCCTGGTAGCCTATTGCGTAACACCAATGCTGGGATTCAACAATCAAACACGCCATACCTGTAGTTCCAGTGGGCCGGTTGGGTCTTGCAGATCCACTGCGCTGCAGGGCATTCTGGGTCGGCTTCGCTGCGGCGTTATTGAGCAGAGCTGGAGCCTTCTGGCCTAAAAACACCGTGCAGAAAAAATCAAACTTCATTTTAGCAGAAAAGCTCCAGAGCAGCAGCTACACGACTGCTCCTCAGAAAGGCTCAGAGGGTTTGAGTGGTGAACGGGGGAAGAACCCATTTTAATCTTAAGGTCTCTGGGTGGGGCTCCTACGTGTTGATTGGTAAATAAATTGGTGGGTTGGGGGTTAAGTCTTTGATCCATGCTACGGTGACCCAACCGATCTGTCAATCATTTCATCAACACTTTGATGGTCCAATGTAGATGACCCGTAAATGCCTGCCTTATCTTACATTCAACCACATATCTATTGTAATTCTACCTAACTGTTCCCTAAACCTAAACCCAATGCTCTGTCTATGACCACTCGACTCATCTAAACCCTAATCCTAGTCTTAAACCCAACACTGTTCATAATCAACTGAGGTTCAAAGAGTCAATCTTTTTAATAATATAATCATCTTTGGATGTATAAATGTATAAAATATGATGTATAAAATGTATAAAATTGTAGTTTTGCTCCTGCACAACTTTAAAGGTTTAATAATCTTTGAGAATATTTTTAAAAATTAAGAAATGAGAAGGTTTTATCCCAGCTAGACATTTTATTGTGCTATAAACATTTTGCGAACACCACACAGATGTTCTATTAAAGTTTTGTCAAAGTTTTTCTTTTTGGTTCCCAGAATATTCTTTGGGAACGTTCTCTATAAACATCATCGTGTAACATAAACTGTGGCTCTGACAACATCCTCAAAACATCCTCTGAACGCTGCAGTTAAAACGTTATGACAAAGTTAACATGTAACCTCAGAGGAATAGTATTTGAAATGCTAAACATCTTTAAAACATTCTTTGAACATTCGATTAAAAGTTTATTTTTTTAAATATTTTTAGAACACGTTGGTAGGAACATTCCCTGCTAGCTGGGATAACATTCAGAATAAAGTTCTGAAAAATGAATGTCCAAAAAGAACATTTAAAATGAAACATTTTAACGCAGAATTAAGTTCTAACTAAATCAATATTCAGAATGAAGTTCTGAATAATTAATATCCAGAATGGAATGTTGGCAAAATTAATGTCCATAATGGATTCTAATAATATTGATATCAAGAAAGAAGTTCTAATGAACTCAATATCCAGAACTGAGTCCTAATAAAAACAATATCCAGAATGAGGCTCCAATAAAATCAAAATCCGAAATTAAATTCTAAAAGAAAATGATATATGAGCTCTAAAAAATCAACATCCAGATTTGAATTTAAGTAAAATGAATGTCCATAATGGAGCTCTAATAAAACTGATAATAAAACTGATTGTTCTGATACAATTAATATCCACTAAAAAGTTCTAATAAATTAATTTCCAGAAAAACACTACTACAAATGTAATATTTAGAGTGCCTCAGATTTCAAAATCATGAGACATTTTTTTTTATAATCACAGTAAATTATTTGTCCATTAATAATATCTTCCCCAAATCTCAAAATAATTATTGTAATATCTGATCTTTGGTGTGTATTTTAGTATAATTGAAGCTACATTGTATAATATAGTTTATACAAAAGTTAGTTCCAGCCCGCAAGCCGATTGGATGAGAAGTGTTCTAACTGTGCTGTTATTTCGCCATAACATCACGTTTTTTTCACAAACACTGTATCACTCCGCTGAGATGCGTTGCTAAGCAACAACTTTGACAGCTGTAGGAGACGCTCAAGCCATTTGAACGTTTTTACTTCTTACTTTGCTGCAAACGGAAAATGTGACAGAAGAACAGCTGAACAACCTGGAATCAGCCAGAAATGAACCCAACACCATTCGCCAAACTAAATGGGCTGTAAGATGCTTTACAGACTGGCTGGAACAAAACAACATTAATACTGATCTGGCAAAAAGTGACAAAACTGAGCTGAACCTGATATTGTGGCAGTTTTATGGCTCAGTCCGATTTGGTCAGACTCTGAAGATCAGACTACATTTTTGGCGAATGATATTGGGTTCATTTCTGGCTGATTCCAGGTTGTTTAGCTGTTCTTCTGTCACAGCTGCCGACTGAAAAGCTGCTCAGTGGTGATGACAGTTTGGGAATTTAGTGTAAGGAACTGGAGAACGAACTGCCAGCTGTGCAGCGAGTGGGCGGAGTTCGCAACAAGCTGCTTGTTAAGGAACTATAATTTGGTGAAGGAACTGCGAACATTAAAACATATTAAACGCCGCGTTCACGGCCCAGTTTATTAATTTCTTACTTCATTTATTTAACTGATGTATAAAAGTGATAGAACACTCGAGGAGTGTGTTATCGCGAATAACATCATGGCTGTGATGATCTACGGCGACCAAATCACAGCCATGATGTTATTTCTTAATAACACACTTCCTCTCATGTTCTATTGCTTAAATATAACGTAAATTATCACCCTAGTAAAATAGCAGGATCATGAAAACAATTTATAATACTGAAAATGATTCATTCCTGTTCTTATTTCATCTAGTTATCAATAAATTTTTCATATTATAAACATTTCACTCAACGCAGCTCCTTCAAAAAAAGCTTGAGACAGTTTAGATCATGTGCTCTCCTGGAAAAAAGGGATCAATCAATGATTCAAGTCATCAACCTTTGAAGAACAAAAGCTAAGTTACGTAAAAATCCTTTAATGGTGAGTTTGTTTGGTTGTGGTCAGGTTTGGTCCGCGCACTACAAACACAGCAATCATCAAAAACCGCTGCTTAGCGCCTCATTAGCTTGATCGATCAGCGAGGCACCAAGCGCAATTAAGCTGATTAATGACCTGGAACCTGTTGATTAATTGGTTTGAGTTTTAAACAGAACGAGGAACAGCTGTGTCGCCTGAACGTGCCTCAATTCTGGGGAGTAATGTGGTAAAATGTAACATAGTTTTCCTTTAGTTTAAATTTTGTTATATAACAGATTCAAATACATCATTCAGTTCAATTAAAGGTTCTATTGAAGGTTCAAGACTCTGACTCGCACCTCAGAGACTCAAGACTGGACTTGCTTTCCAGAGACTGGACACTCAACTGGACACCCAACTCACAACCCAGCGACTCGAGACTCGACTCGGACTCACGCTTGCACTCCAGAGACTTGAGACTCGACTTGGACCTCAGCGACGCATTACTTGACTTGGATTCGATACCCAGAGACAAGAGATTCGACTCAGACTCAAACCCCAGTGACTTAAGACTCAACTTGGACCTGGACCCCAGAGACTCAATACTTGACTCAGAGTCGAACCCCAGTGACTTGGGACTCGGCTTGGACTCGAACCCCAGTAACTCAGACTTGAACTCCAGTGACTCGGGACTCGACTCGAACTTGAACCCCAGTGAGTTGAGACCCAATTCAGACTTAAACCCCAGTGACTTGAGACTCGACTAGACTAGAGCTTCGACATGGACGCAAACCCCAATTACTCAAGACTTGACTCGGATTCGAACCCCAGTGACTCAAGACTCAATCTGGCCTTAAAACCCAGAAACTCAAGACTCAATTTGGACTCACATCCCAGAGACTCAATACTTGACGCCGAGTCAAACCTCAGTGATTCAATACTCAACTCTGGCTCAAACCCCAGTGACTCAAGACTTGACTCGGACTCGAACCCTGGTGATTCAAGACTCGACTCGGACTCAAACCTCAGTGACTTGAGACTGGACCCTGATTCAAATCCCAGTGATTCAATACTCAACTCTGGCTCACACCCCAGTGATTTGAGACTTGACTCGGACTCGAACCCCGGTGATTCAAGACTCAACTCAGACTCGAACCCGAGTGACTGAAGACCAACTTGGACTTACATTCCAAAGACTCAAGACATGACTCGCACTTGAAACTTAGAGACTCAACTTGGACTTGCATCCCAGTCACTCAGTACTCGACTTGGACTCGCATCCTAGAGATTCAACACTTGATTGGGACTCAAACCCCAGTGACTTAAGACTTGACTCAGACTCGAACCACTGTGATACAAGACTCAACTTAGACTCAAACCCCAGTGACTTGAGACTCGACTTGGACATGAACCCCAGAAACTCAAAACTTAATTTGGACTCACATCTTAGAGACTCAAGACTCGACTCTGACTCAAACCTCATTGAATCAAGACTTGACCCCGACTCAAACCTCCGTGATTCAATACTCAATTCAGACTCAAACCCCAGTGACTTGAGACTTGAATGGGACTCGAACCCCAGTGATTCAAAACTTAACTCGAACTCGAACTCTAGTGACTGAAGACTCAACTTGGACTTGCATCCCATTGACTCAAGACTCAAATTGAACTCGCGTCCCAGAGACTCAAGACCCGACTTAGCCTCGAAACCCAATGACTGAAGACTCGGCTTGGCCTTGTATCCCATGCACTCAAGACTCAACTTGAACTCGCGTCCCGGAGACTCAAGATTCGACTCAGCATCAAACCCCATGACTCGGTACTCAACTCAGACTTGCATCCAAAAGCCTCAAGGCTCAACTCACACCACAGTGCCTCAAGAATTGACTCAGACTCGCACCCCAATGACAAGAGACTCACATGACACGTCTCGCGAGATTGTTTTAAGAAAGTGATAACATAACAGTAGACTGCTAACAGAAGCTGCCAGCAGGGGGAGTTTTTACATGGTATCTGTGTGTGTTCTTACCTGCAGTGGTGGGTTTCGCAGGTGTAGAGTTGGCTCTGTTGCGGAGACCCACTGCTGGTTTGTTATTAGCAGGTTTTCCCTGCGATGTCGAGGAGGATCTAACAGCTTTCTCTTCGCTCCTCACCACCTGGGCAACACCTGAGAGTAGAGAAGTCACCATCATTACCATCTTCACCAGAATCAGAAAAAACATTATATGATCATAACATGTAAAGTGCACATCTTGGTGCTTTGATTGGTTTTGGAGTAGCCTCGGACGGCGTGATGTGGACAAAAGTGTAGTAATGTGAATATATAGCGATTTCAGATTTCATTCAAATAAAAACCTTCATCACTTTTAAAAGTAGTTCATATGAAAATATATTATTACAAGTAATTTTAGACAATAGCTGTGTCCCAATTCAGGTGCTGCATCCACGCCTTCATAGGCCGCGTCCTTCGAAGGCTGTGTAGACCCACTAAGTCTGAATCAAAATAAGGCCGTCTGCTCCACGGCAGATTTCCTGTCAGCATCACAGCACCACTGATCCCGTTGGATCCTTCATTGCCATGGAAAAGAAGCACACATTTCGAAGGAGCCTTCGAAATGGAACAGCCTAGTCGCACCGCTGTGGCGCAATCGGCCTTCAAATGCAGCCTCAGAAGGACACAGCCCTTGAATTGGACGCAGCTCATATCTGGCAGGGACCGGTTTGGTGGCCTACCAGGTCTTGCATGGTTGCCTTTTAATCATTTTTTGACCTCCAGTTTTGGAAACATCTATTGTTTTTTTTAAAACCTCACACACTTGTAAAATATTAATGCTCAGCATTTTAATCAAATCAATCTGTTTATAGAATTAATGGTCCAAATTAGCGAAGCACCAAAGCTGATTACAGCACAGTGAATGATGATGCTGCTGAACATCCTGAGTGATTGCGGTTGTCGTGGAAACCCTGATTAGTCCTAAAGTAAATATAAAATAAGTGCGTTCCTATAGAAACCGCATCTCTGTGCTCTGAGTCGCCATGACAACCTGCATTTTGAGAGGAACGCTGATCATGGCTGGGACTGATGGGCTGATATGCAGTGTGAGAAATCTGTCAATATTAGAAAATATAAACATGCAAATGTAAATAAAGGACGCATCAGATAAAATATGTTGCATTTTTCAATTCTATTTTGTTGTGTTGATATGATTTTGCTTGATAAAGTAAATATTAATATGGTTCTACCCCAATTATTGAGTTTTACCGTTCCATGTAAAAAACATTAAAATAATAAATATGTTATTATTATACTACAGTGACGGCACAATCTGATTGGTTCTACTGTTTTTTTCACAACAGCTGTATCATTCAGCTGAGCACCGGTTGCTAAGTAACGGCTCGCTTTAAGCAACATCATGGTTCTGATGATCTACAGCAACTGAATCATGTTTTATTGCTAAATTATAAATTTATATCTAGAATATGAATCTTCTTTGCTTCAGACATTAGCTTATAAATATTTAAATAAAACTCATTAGTTATGTAAGAAAGATGAAATGATGAAAGTAAAAGATAAGATTTAAATTTAAAATTTTATAGCCCAAAAAAGTCATTGCCTGCTATTGTGTAATAATTATAATACTTATTAATGAATAATTATTTAAATGATTAATGATTACAAAATGATTATTTTTATAGTTATATTGAATTAAATACTAATTATTGACACTTTCATTGCTGTTACTATTGTTGTTGTTACTGTTGTACTAATGGCAGTCTATCTTAGATAAAGTTGTATGCAAAAGTTTGTGCACCCCTGGTCAAATTCTATGTTTTGTTGATTTTGCAAGCGAAAATAAAACACGTAAATATGGCACTTTTCAAGTTTTAGTGCACAAACTTGCACTAAATTTGAATTTAACATACTGGAAAAAAAAATGTAAAATAGTAAATTTTGCATTCAAATATAAAATGCAACGTGCCATGACTTTTGCACAGGCCACGTTTGACATTTTATTGTTTCAATATGTTGACCAATTCAGTAAACGAAAAGTAATCGTGCATTAAAATGTGCAGAAGGGGTGCCAAAACCTCTGCACATGACTGTAGATATTGTTTTGGTTTATCCATAAATATTGACAGTGTTGTGTGGTCAACACCTGTGCTCGTTGTGATGATAGAGAGAGATGTATATATAGAGAGAGAGGTAGAGAGAGATGTATATATAGAGAGAGATGTATATATAGAGAGAGAGGTAGAGAGAGATGTATATATAGAGAGAGATGTATATATAGAGAGAGAGGTAGAGAGAGATGTAAATATAGAGAGAGATGTATATATAGAGAGAGATGTATATATATATAGAGAGAGAGGCAGAGAGAGATGTATATATAGAGAGAGAGGTAGAGAGAGATGTATATATAGAGAGAGATGTATATATAGAGAGAGATGTATATATAGAGAGAGAGGTAGAGAGAGATGTATATATCGAGAGAGATGTATATATAGAGAGAGAGGTAGAGAGAGATGTATATATAGAGAGAGATGTATATATAGAGAGAGAGGTAGAGAGAGATGTATATATAGAGAGAGAGGTAGAGAGAGATGTATATATAGAGAGAGATGTACATATAGAGAGAGAGGTAGAGAGAGATGTATATATAGAGAGAGATGTATATATAGAGAGAGATGTATATATAGAGAGAGAGGTAGAGAGAGATGTAAATATAGAGAGAGATGTATATATAGAGAGAGAGGTAGAGAGACATGTATATATAGAGAGAGATGTATATATAGAGAGAGAGGTAGAGAGAGATGTATATATAGAGAGAGATGTATATATATAGAGAGAGAGAGGCAGAGAGAGATGTATATATAGAGAGAGAGGTAGAGAGAGATGTATATATAGAGAGAGATGTATATATAGAGAGAGAGGTAGAGAGAGATGTATATATAGAGAGATGTATATATAGAGAGAGGTAGAGAGAGATGTATATATAGAGAGAGATGTATATATCTAGAGAGAGAGGTAGAGAGAGAGGTAGAGAGAGATGTATATATAGAGAGAGAGGTAGAGAGAGATGTATATATAGAGAGAGATGTATATATAGAGAGAGAGGTAGAGAGAGATGTATATATAGAGAGAGATGTATATATAGAGAGAGAGGTAGAGAGAGATGTATATATAGAGAGAGATGTATATATATAGAGAGAGGTAGAGAGAGATGTATATATAGAGAGAGATGTATATATAGAGAGAGAGGTAGAGAGAGATGTAAATATAGAGAGAGATGTATATATAGAGAGAGAGGTAGAGAGAGATGTATATATAGAGAGAGATGTATATATAGAGAGAGAGGTAGAGAGAGATGTATATATAGAGAGAGATGTATATATATAGAGAGAGAGAGGCAGAGAGAGATGTATATATAGAGAGAGAGGTAGAGAGAGATGTATATATAGAGAGAGAGGTAGAGAGAGATGTAAATATAGAGAGAGATGTATATATAGGGACAGATGTATATAGAGAGAGATGTATATATAGTAAATATAGAGAGAGATGTATATATAGAGAGAGATGTATATACAGAGAGAGGTAGAGAGAGATGTAAATATAGAGTAAATATAGTAAATATATAGATGTATATATAGTAAATATAGAGAGAGATGTATATATAGAGAGAGATGTATATATAGAGAGAGGTAGAGAGAGATGTAAATATAGAGAGAGATGTATATATAGAGAGAGATGTATATATATAGAGAGAGGTAGAGAGAGATGTATATATAGAGAGAGATGTATATATAGAGAGAGAGGTAGAGAGAGAAGTATATATAGAGAGATATGTATATATAGAGAGAGATGTATATATATAGAGAGAGAGAGGTAGAGAGAGATGTATATATAGAGAGAGATGTATGTATATAGAGAGAGAGGTAGAGAGAGATGTATGTATAGAGAGAGAGGTAGAGAGAGATGTATATATAGAGAGAGATGTATATATATAGAGAGAGAGGTAGAGAGAGATGTATATATAGAGAGAGATGTATATATAGAGAGAGGTGTATATATATAGAGAGATGTATATATAGAGAGAGATGTATATATATATAGAGAGAGGTAGAGAGAGATGTATATATAGAGAGAGATGTATATATAGAGAGAGGTAGAGAGAGATGTATATATAGAGAGAGATGTATATATAGAGAGAGAGGTAGAGAGAGATGTAAATATAGAGAGATATGTATATATAGAAAGAGAGGTAGAGAGAGATGTATATATAGAGAGATGTATATATAGAGAGATGTATATATAGAGAGAGAGGTAGCGAGAGATGTATATATAGAGAGAGATGTATATATATAGAGAGAGATGTATATATAGAGAGATGTATATATAGAGAGAGAGGTAGAGAGAGATGTATATATAGAGAGAGATGTATATATATAGAGAGAGATGTATATATAGAGAGAGAGGTAGAGAGAGATGTATATATATAGAGAGAGATGTATATATAGAGAGATGTATATATAGAGAGAGAGGTAGAGAGAGATGTATATATAGAGAGAGATGTATATATAGAGAGAGAGGTAGAGAGAGATGTATATATAGAGAGAGATGTATATATATAGAGAGATGTATATATATAGAGAGAGGTAGAGAGAGATGTATATATAGAGAGAGATGTATGTATATAGAGAGAGAGGTAGAGAGAGATGTATGTATAGAGAGAGAGGTAGAGAGAGATGTATATATAGAGAGAGATATATATATAGAGAGAGAGAGGTAGAGAGAGATGTATATATAGAGAGAGATGTATGTATATAGAGAGAGAGGTAGAGAGAGATGTAAATATAGAGAGAGAGAGGTAGAGAGAGATGTATATATAGAGAGAGATGTATGTATAGAGAGAGATGTATATATAGAGAGAGATGTATATATAGAGAGAGAGAGGTAGAGAGAGATGTATATATAGAGAGAGATGTATGTATAGAGAGAGAGAGGTAGAGAGAGATGTATATATAGAGAGAGATGCATGTATAGAGAGAGAGAGGTAGAGAGAGATGTATATATGGAGAGAGATGTATGTATAGAGAGAGAGAGGTAGAGAGAGATGTATATATAGAGAGAGATGTATGTATAGAGAGAGAGAGGTAGAGAGAGATGTATATATGGAGAGAGATGTATGTATAGAGAGAGAGAGGTAGAGAGAGATGTATATATGGAGAGAGATGTATGTATAGAGAGAGAGAGGTAGAGAGAGATGTATATATAGAGAGAGATGTATGTATAGAGAGAGAGAGGTAGAGAGAGATGTATATATATAGAGAGAGAGGTAGAGAGATGTATATATATATATAGAGAGAGCGGTAGAGAGAGATGTATATATAGAGAGAGATGTATATATAGAGAGAGAGGTAGAGAGATGTATATATAGAGAGAGATGTATATATCGAGAGAGATGTATATATAGAGAGAGAGGTAGAGAGAGATGTATATATATAGAGAGAGATGTATATATAGAGAGAGATGTATGTACAGAGAGAGAGAGGCAGAGAGAGATGTATGTACAGAGAGAGATGTATATATAGAGAGAGATGTATGTATATAGAGAGAGAGGAAGAGAGAGGTGTATATATAGAGAGAGATGTATGTATAGAGAGAGAGAGGTAGAGAGAGATGTATATATAGAGAGAGATGTATGTATAGAGAGAGAGAGGTAGAGAGAGATGTATATACAGAGAGAGAGAGGTAGAGAGAGATGTAGCAGAAACAGTAGCTGATTGGGTTTGTGTTATCAGTGCTGCAGTTACTGGGTTTTCAGTTCTCTTCAGTGCAGAGAGACGTATTAAAACTACAGTCTATGATAATCGAGTGTACAGACTCAGCAGATACAGATGAGGCTGATGAACGATAAGTGCTCTTTAATGTTCCTCTGAACGTTCCCTCTTTTATTTCTTACAGGTATTAAATGTGTTTAAGTGGTATTAAAGTGTTCGTACTCTGGTCAGAGCTGCTGTTGAGTCCTTGTGTTTAAACACACTCACCTCTGCCGGCCGACGTGTTGCTCTCGCTGGCCGCGCTGCCCAGTGAGGAGGAGCTCAGGCTCGCGGTGAGGCCTCCGCTTTTGATTGGCAGTTTGGAGGAGGCGGGTTTCTGGGGAGCTCTACAGGAGGAGGCGGGGCTACACGTCTTAGGTACACCTGCATCACCAGAAACACAGACATCACACCAACGTCATCATCATCCTCACTGTCGCTGTTGTTGTTGCCGTGGTCACTAATCACCACCTGTCTGCACCGTGAGGTCATACAGGCCGTTCTAACGACACAGTCAGAGCAGTTAGACTGGACAGGAGCTGACCAACACCGCAACACCACCACACCACCGCATCACAACATCACCGCACCACTGCATCACAACATCACCGCACCACTGCATCACTGTATCACAACACCACCACATCACAACACTCACACAACACCTCTCACACACCAACAGACCATTAGACACATACAGAGATGAGGACTGACGACTGACCAACTCAGGTGTACAGCAGATTATCTCTTTCTCTCTCTCTCTCTCTTGCTCTTCTTCTTTCTACCTCTCTTTTTCTTTTCTTTCTTTCTCTCTCTTGCCCCTCCCCCCTCTTCTCTTCTCTCTCTGTCCCTGTCTCTCTCCCCTTCTCTTTCTCTCCCCTTTTCTTTCTCTCTTTCCCCTTATTTTTTCTTTCTTTCTTTCTTCATTTCTTTCTTTCTTTCTTTCTTTCTTTCTGACTTTTATTTTTTCTTTCTTTATCCCTTTATGACTGTCTGTCTATCTCTCTCTATTCATCTCTCTTTTTCATTCCCTCTCCATCTTTCTTTTTTTCTTTCTTTCTTTCTTTCATTGTTTCTTTCTCTCTCATTAGTCCACTTCCTGTTCTCTGCACGGTTTCCTGCCTGGATACACACACACACACACACCACACACACACACACACACATTTTTACACATACCAGTCTATTCAGCCACCAGCAGTTCAGCTCCGCCCATTCACACTGAACGAGGCACACCACAGGACAGCCAATCAGAACAGGGCTCATTTACATATTGTAAATTATACCTCATATCTCCAAAAATGTAACAACTGAAGAAAAAAAACATGCTTAACTTTAAATACAAATTAATGTAAAACTATTTTATTCCAAGCCATTTTCGACCATTTCTATTGGTCCATTCTTCATGAAGTTTTGACACAGTGTACAGCAGCTAGCTTTTTAAAATTATGCAACAAAAAAAAATTCAAAAATGGTTTGTTCCGACTGTAACGAGGTATCAGTCTTACAGACACAGTAAAAAAGATGGACTGTTGTTGGTACAAATGTTATAAGTGGAAAAAAATAAAATACGACGAATATGAGCTCTTTAATAACTGATCTAGGATCAGTTCCTAAACCTTTTTCTGTATTCCTACCATTACAGGCCAAATGCTGCAACTGTATCAGAATCAGCTGGGAATGAATAGTGTAGAAAGCTGCCACCTGCTGGCAAGAGCTGTTACTGCAGCTCATTTTAAAGGGCCCATATTCTCAAGTCAAGTCAGCTTTATTGTCAATACTACAATATGTACAGGACATACAGAGTATTGAAACTGCGTTACTCTCAGACCCCATGGTGTAGATTGGGTGAACATTAAATAGACAGTAAACAGGAAATGTGTGAATTAAATAGACACTAAATAAACACTAAACACTAATTGTAAAATAAACACTAATTGTAGAAAAATAGAATAATAAAAAATAATATAAATATAAGAAGGTCCCTGAATTTAACAATAAAGTGACATGACATAATTCTACATTTCTTATGCACCCTCCCCCCGTTTTCCCTTCCACTTTGAGTGGTTTTATGCGCCCAGAACACTGATTATTTTTACATGATCATTTTCCAACCTCTCTTTATCTCTTATAAATAAATAAGCTGTTTTTTGCTTCTGTGCCTTTAAGACTGATTTATATAAATAAGCTCAAGCTGAAACACTCCTTATAATTTAAGTGTGAGGGGCGGAGCTAAACTGCCGTAGGCTGAATACACAGCCTATATCAGGGGTTGGCCACCCAAATGTTAAGAAGAGCCATTTTGTCCTTTCAATAAAGTCAAACCACCTTGGGAGCCACAACAATTTATGTCCATTTTACCGTCTTGGCTGTAAATATGTCTCAGTATGTGCTGATGTGCTAGTATAGTCTAAAAATATATAATATAAACGAAAAAACACCGATGTACTTTGCTCTGTTTTAAGCTTTAGCTAAACTATAGCCACTTTTCTCACATCTCCAGCAGGAAACTTTTCTGCAAGAGTAGAACAGTTTCTTGTAAAATGTCTCTCAACGTTCTATTTTTTACAAGGCATTCACCTTGTATATATATATATATATATATATATATATATATATATAATATATATATATATATATATATATATATATATATATATATATAATTCTGCATATATTTCAAATCAAATTAAACTAAATATTTTACAAAGTTCATTTACTACGTTAGTGCTTTAATTTGATCCAGTTGTCTATGATGGAGGCCCTTAACAACTGACAAGTAACTCTCTTAAACTTCATATCTGTCAGTATTAAAAAATTAGCCTTTAATAAAGAGAGAAAAAGAGACTTAGTAGAACTTCAGCTTTGACTGGAGACTACAAACGTTTAGGAAATGAATCACTGTGAATCACACACACAAAGGCTTGGCTGTTGTCCGGTTTCGGGGTCAAAGTGGAGACTCCAGGGCCTGGACATATGGAACAAACCAGCAATTGTCCAGAAGGAATCTGACCTTTCCACAAAATTCAATTCAGCTTTTTTCAATGAAAGATGACAAATGCTAATAAATTTGACCCTGTATGCACACATATATCTATATCATGGTGTGCAAAAGTCAGAGACCACCCTTCATTTCTTTAATTTCCAGCCTAAATAGCCATTAAGCACACATTATTCATTTATCCGCATCAGGAAAAACTCAGAAAACAAAGATTTAACAGAAAATGAACACATTCTTCAGTACTTAGTGTGTCCTTTTACCTTTATTACAGGTTCCATTCTTTTCAGGAGACTCACTTTCAGTTTCTCAAAGAAATCTGCAGACACACCTCCAAAGCTGTGTTACAAACTCAATTTCAAAAAGTTGGGACCGTGTGTAAAACGTAAATAAATCCAGAAAGCAGTAATTTGTAAATCCATTTTTACGTCTTTAAACAAAAGCAGTACAAAGACAAAATATGTAATGTTTTATCTCATCAACTTCATTGTTTTTTGTAAATTCTATTCTAAATCATCCTAAATTTGATGCCAACATTACAAAAAAGTTTAAGATTAGAAACATTGTTAAATGTTCAGTAAACATTTTGAAAGAGGTGATGTTATCATGTTTGGGTATGAAAGGAGCAGTCAGGAAAGGCTGGAGAGTCCTTTATGAGTGAGGATGGGTCAAGACTCGCCACTAAAATGCAGCAGCAGATAGTCCAACTGTTTAGGAGCAAAGTTTTGCTAGGACTTTATGAATTTCACCATCTACAGTGCATGATAGTATAGAAAACTATTCTGGGAATCTGGAAAAATCTCTGCAAGGCCAAAAACCACAATGGAATGCCAATAGCTTTCGACCTTTCAGACAACACTGCGCTAAAAATCAGCATGCCTCTGTGATGGTATCACCACATGGGCTCGGGAATACTTTGACAAACTATTGTCAATAAACCCTGTTAATCACTGCATCCACAAATGCAAGTTAAGACTGTACATACATCAACAACACACTGAAACACCGCCGACTTCTCTGGGCTCTAGCTCATCTGAAAGGCACTGATGCACAGTGGAAATATGTATTGTGGTCTGATGATTCAAACTTTCAGATTGTTTATGATAATAGATGTTGTGTTCTCTGTGCCAAAGAAGGAAAGAATCATCCAGATTGTCACCAGCGTAAAGTTTAAAAGCCTGGATCTGTTGTGGTATTTTAAGTGACATATGCTGCCTTTGAGATGCCCTGTTTTTCAGGAACATCCATGCGTATTTCAACATGACAACAACAAGCCACATTCTGCACATGTTACGACAGCATGGCTGCATAATTAGAGTGTGCAGGTGTTAGACTGGCCTACTTGTCCCCTTGTGGAAACATGTGCCGCATTATGAAGTGCGAAATACAACAATGAAGGCCCCAGACAGTTACACAGCTAAAGACTTTTACAAGAGAAGAATGGCAAAATGTTGTGCTTTCAAAACTGGATCAGTTTGTGTCTGAACAATCATTAAGTCCTGTTAAAAGGAAAGATGACACACACACAGTGATAAACATGCACCTAACTGTTTTGGAAAACACTGAAGGCATCATTTTTGGAATGAGCTTTCTGTTTTATTGGTATTGTCTATAATGTCCCAACTGGGTTTGAAGAATTGGGTTTGTAGAAGTTGGTTGCATTTCTCGTTTCTCATAAACCACATTCAGTGGTGTTGAGGTCTGGACTCTGGGGTGGCCAGTCCATTGTTCAGCTTCTTTGTTTGATGTGTCCGTCTCCTTTTCTCAGTGAGGTTCTTCTTGACAGCTACACATCCTTTCATATATATATGCTGCATGGCCAAAAGTATGTGGACACCTCTCCTATTTAGTGAGTTCAGGCGTTTTTGACACATCCATTGCTATATAAAACCAAGCACCCTGACTATATATATATATATATATAAAGATATATATATATATAAAGAGAGAGAGATTCTTAACTTTAATTGCACCTTAAAGTTACCACTGGAGATACAAGATTTTCTCTTTACAGTGAGAATACGTTTTCCTTCTTCTCTGTCATTTTTTTTTGTCCTTCTGTCTGTGTTCTTCTCTGTCAGGTGTTTCTGTCCATCTCAAAGCATAGCCATCAATGAAAAGAGGAAGAAAGAAAGAGAGAGAGAGAGAGAGAGAGAGAGAGAGAGAGAGAGAGAGAGGAAAGACACTTCCTCACACAAGTCAGTCCTTTGTGTGGGCAGATAATGGGGGGGGTTCTCAAGCAAGAAACAAAGAAAAAGAAAGAGAGAGAGTAAGAAAGAAAGAAAGAAAGAAAGAAAGGAGTATTACATAACACAGACGTGTGTAGTGCTGTTAACACCAGCTGCTTATCCAGTTACAGAAGAGGAAACTCTATCAGCTTGATTTTAACACAGTGTGGTGTGTGTGTGTGTGTGTGTGTGTGTGTGTGTGTGTGTGTGTGTGGCGTGAGTGATTTCAGAGGTATTTTAAAATCACAGCCCTGAAGACGCCAAACCCTCCACACATAACTGACATACTTGTCACAAAACACATACACACACGTCTGTGTAGAACACTATACAAAAGTATACAAGTATCTATATGTAACATAATATGTCCCCTTATCTATTATGTCTACATGCACTATTACATACAGTTTATGTAATGTTTAACAATGTTTAACTATCCGGTGTCGACCAGAGGAGGATGGGTCCCCCTTCTGAGTCTTGGTTCCTCTCAAGGTTTCTTCCTGTTTCTCTTAGGGAGTTTTTCCTTGCCACTGTCGCCTCTGGCGACGCTCATGGGGCCTCGGACCCGGACTTCTTTCTGTAATGCTGATTTCCTTGTAAAGCTGCTTTGTGACAACACCTGTTGTAAAAAGCGCTGTATAAACAAACTTTACTTACTTACTTACTTACTACTAATGTTTTATATATATATATTGCTGCTGTCAGAACAAAACCTTGTATCTCCAACATGGTAACTTTACAGGAGAAGGAAAAAACACACTTTACTTTTAATGTAAATCAATGGAACCAGACATTTTTGCAAGTAGTTTAGGGCTGTTTCTTTTGGTCCATTCACCATGAAATTTACACACAATGTAAATCACAAAAGGTATTTTCAAATTATGTCAAAAACTGAAAAACGACAAAAACACACATTATATATATATATATATATATATATATATATATATATATTATATATATATATATATATATATATATATATATATTATATATATATAAAAAGAGTATAAAAGAGGCATCAAGTTCTTCATTTCTCAATGATCCACAGTTTCCAAAACTAGAGCTCACAAACTGACAGAGAAAATGTGCCTCCTAACAACCACCTGGAAGACCTGGTGGACACCAAAACTGTCCCCATCAGATAAACAGCACTTAAAGCTTTCATCTTTGAGAGAGAGGAGAAAATCAAGCTGCTTCAGATCTGAAAACATCCACAGGTGTTTCTGTCCATCCTTCCACTGTGAGAAGACGACTCAGCGCTGTGGGTCTGAAAGGATGTGTAGCTGATCAAGAAGAACCTCACTGAGAAAAGGAGACGGACACATCAAACAAAGAAGCTGAACAATGGACTGACCACCCCAGAGTCCAGACCTCAACACCACTGAATGTGTTTGATTACTTCAGAAAATGATCAACCAGCTTCTGAGACTGAACTTTGGAGGTGTGTTAAAACATCCCTGCAGAGTCTTTTTCAAAACTGAGATGTTGTATTGAGCTGTTGAGGCTCCTGTGTCGTTTTCTGTGCTGTTTTTTTTTTTCTGACACTGTAAATACACACGTTCCTCAGCAGCCATAAATCACAGCAGACTCACACCCTCATGTCTGAGAGTGTAAACGAGTGTGTGGAGAGTGTGTACACGTGGAACACAGCGTGTGTGTGTGTGTGAGAGAGTGTGAGAGTGTGTGAGAGAGAGCGAGAGACTCACCGGTTGACGCAGGAGCTTGTACCCCGGTGGGCACGGACACAGCTTTGGGGGTCTTCAGTTTGGACCCCGTCTGCAGAAAAACGGGCGGATTAGAGAGAGAGTTCCAGGAGAGAGAGGAAAAATCACGACCACACAGAGTCAGCATGGTGTTAGCCATAACAGAGCAGAGGGGAAATGAGAGGGAAAGAGAAGAGAGAGAGAGAGAGAGAGAGAGAGAGGGAGAGGGAGGAGCAGAAAAGGAGGAGGGGAAAAGGATGGCAAAAAAGGAAAAAAAAAGCTGTGAGGAGAAGTTGTTGAGAGCTGTTTCCCCTGAAGTTCTACTACATTCTAACAAACAAAAGCAGAGCCTAGAGACAGAGAGAGAGAGAGAGAGACAGAGAGAGAGAGAGAGAGAGAGAGAGAGAGAGAGAGGAAAGAGAAATAGAGAGACAGAGAGAAAAGAGAGAAAGAGAATAAGAGAGAGAGAAAGAACTAGAGAGAATGAAAAAGAGAAAAAAGAGGTAGAGAACTAGAACGGAAGAAAAAGAGAGAACATGGAAAAGGGACTGAGATAGAGAGAGAGAGAGAGAGAAAAGAGTGTGAGAGAGAGAGACAGAGAGACAGAAAGAGAGAGAAAAAGAGAGAAATAGAGAGAGAGAGAAAGGGAGAAAGTAAGAGAGAGAGAGAAAATGACGGAGTGAGTAAAAGAAAGAAAGAATAAATAAACACTCTCTGGCATGTGCAGCTGTTTTGAAGCCTGCAGTAGAACCTGAGTGAAAACAGCAGCATGTGAAAACACTTATGTAGAACTGCCCAATCACTGACTCCACTAATGAGGCTCTAGGAAATTTACAGAAACAGGAAAAACAAACTCTGTGTTGACAAAAGGCCGTTTGTGCCGTTTGTGCCTGTCGGCATCACCTGGAACGTACGCACTCGGCGCTTTGATGCTGCGCTTTCTTCAGGCTCATTATAACAACACTGGGAAATGAGGTTTAATGGCAACTCATGGAAGCAGTTCTCAACTCACAGTGAGAGCTACCCAGCCTAAAGTACGGCCTCCCCACGGCGGGGTTAGCTTTAGCACATTGTTATGACTTCCCAAGTAAACAATGAGTGTCTTTAGACATACTTAATAATCCGATAACTGCAGAAAATCAGATTTTGTCCGTAATCTGATCAACGTGTTAACATGCGCTTGAGTAATTAGACAATGGGAAACTCTGGGTCTACATGAGTCAGACAGTAATCAGATTTCTGCTTTGCAACCAGCCAATAAACTCACAGAAGAAGACGTGACGTAAATGTAATATAAAATGAAAGAATATTTAAACCCCTCATTTCATCAAGCATGTAGTTGGTTTCGTCGTCGCCCCAAAAGCGTTTTGCTGCGTCTCACGGCGATGCTTATTTCTGGTCTGTTTTCGCACATGCGCAGACTGAGAAATCCGAAAGAAATCAGAGTAAGAGTTTACGTGCACTGAGAAATCTGATTACTGAGCTAAAATCCAGCTCCCTTTATCAGATTTCTTAAGCAGATTTCTAGACCTTACTCCATTCTAAGAAATCAGAGTATGCAGTTTACATGACCATTTGAATAATCATATAACTGCAGAAATCTGATTATGATCAGATTACTGAGTGCATGTAAACTCACTGAGAGTCCATGTGCCCTCATAAAAACTCAAGAAAGTTTTCAACACAGTTTATTCAGCTACTTAAAAGGTGCACCCATTGCACCCATAGAACAGCACTGACACTCCAGAGCAGCTACACATGAGCCTAAGGTTACCATGTTCAATGCTAATCATCAGCTAGAGGGGTATAAAACCCCCCAGCATTGGACTGCAGAGCAGTGGAACTGCGTTCTCTGTAGTGATGGAGCTCCATCCAGTACCTTTGGGATGAGTTGGAGTGCCAGAACTGATCATCCAACATCAGTACCTGACCTCACTAATGCTCTTGCACTGTAACAAATGAGAAGTCTGCTCAACTTAAAATGATATAGCAACCGATGGCTTTTCTGGAGTTGACTCAACTGTCTAATAATTCATCCCAATATCAGGAGATTGTGAATTTGAATCCTTGCAATACCACAGCTGTCCATATCCATAAGTGTGTACCCAAAAGGGAAGTACCCTTTCCTCTTGGGTACCCTAGCAGGACTGTGTGACGGAAAGAGTCCTGGCTAGTGGGGAAGTTGAGTATAAACAAACAGGTTCATTTTATTTACCTAACTGAGATGTAGAACTAAAAAATTGAGAGAACTTTTGACTCAACTAAGAAGTTTGAGTTGGGTGTCCTCAAGTCGAGTCAACTCAAAAAGCCCTGAAATCGGTTACTATATCATTTTGAGTTGAGCTGATCTTTCATTGTTAACAGTGTGTTAAACAGCAATCATGTTCTCACAGCAATGTTCCAAGATCTACTGTAAAGCAATCCCAGAAGAACAGAAGCTGTTAATGCAGCAAAGTGGGGGACAAACTCTCTTTACCCTTGATTTACAAAGGTACATTGTACCAAGAGCTTGCTGTTGTCTACAAACTCTTGGACACACGGGGTGCATTTAAAATTTGCTAAATTAAGTATTTCAACAAAAATATGGATGTTTACTATTGTTTCTCGATAAGTTTAAATGATTTTTGGCAGCGTTCTGTAAAGTCAGTCCAACTTAGCAACATCAGCTACTAAAGAACACTTTGATGGGCAAGCATGGATAGAGGAATCGAGACCTGGAAAAGTGGAGAGTCAATCAAATCACAGATGTACCAATGACATCAGAGTTTAGAAGTCAATAAAGTGATTCTTGAATGGACAGGTGAGGCAGGCCAAGTTTGAAGAAAAGGTAACTCACCTGGTCTAAATCTTCAGGAATCTCCTTGGCTGACTGTGTCTCTAGTGGGACCTCCTCTTTGTCACATTCCCTCTCCTCATTTACTACGTCCATGACCTCTGCACCTTCGTTCTGCTCCTGGTCGCCATTGACAACAATCTCTGGCCTCACGTTTGCATCACTGACACACAGGGGCGTTTTCTCTATTTGCAGGTGTACGGCTTTAGGTTTGGGGTCTGTAATTGGTGCTGGCATCGTCACTCTTGCCTGGTTGGAGGACGACCTCCTCTTCTTGATGACACCATCAGCATCTTGGTCTTTGCTGTTGGCTGTTCGCCCCCTAGAAGGTGGAGGCTTCTTCTCTGTGCCGGCTGCTGATTGGCTGGGATTAGCTGGTCTTGGTGCAGAGGCAGCCCTAGAATTGACCTTTGGTTTGACGTTCTTTAAGTCAGGCCTGGGAAACCGTTTCATTTCTGTTTTGGTGGATTTGGTCATGGAAGGCTTTGTGGTAGGTCTGGTGTGACCTTGACCTGGACGATCTTTGGTGTTTTGCAAGGTCAGTTTTGTTTTTTCATTTTTGTTGCGGGTGGTGGAGGAGACAGTCTTTTTGGGCTCCTGGCTGGGTGCAGATGGCGGAGAAACCACAAAATTATCCTCAGAAACTGGAGGCAGCACTGTATCACTAAGAGTGACTTCTGAGGGTAGATGAGATGGACTTATCTCAAGATGAGGCCCAACAAAGTCCTGATGGACCTCACTATCAGGACCCATATCAGGCCCTTTAGATGAGCTCTGCATCTGGCCCTCCTCAGTGTGAAGTTGTGTTGATTCCTGAAGGGCCTCTTGATGGAGCTCATTCACAGGGCCCACATCAGGCCTCCTGGATGAGCTCAGCATCTGACCCTCCTCTGTATGAAACTGCGTTGATTCCTGAAGAGCCTCCTGATGGAGCTCATTCACATGACCCATGTCAGGCATCCTAGTTGAGCTATGCATTTGGAATTCCTCAGTGTGAATCTCCATTGATTCCTGAAGATCCGTCTTATCGAGCTCACTCACATGGCCCATGTGGGGCCTCCTGGTTGAGTGATGCACTTCACACTCCACAGTGTCAACCTCCATTGATTCATGAAGAGTCTTCTGATGAAGCTCACTCACAAGGCCTACATCTGGTCTCCTGGATGAGTTCTGCATCTGGCTTTCCCCAGTGTGAGGCTCCATCGACTCCTGAAGGCCTTCTTGATGAAACTCACTCAGAGGGTCCACATTAGACCTCCTGGATAAGCTCTGCATCTGGTCCTGCTCCACTGATTCCTGAAGGGCCTCCTTATGCAGCTCACTCACAGGGCCTACATTAGGCCCCATAGAAGAGATCTGTATCTGGCCTTCCTCATTCTGGCACCTCATCACCACATCAGCAGAACTCAGAGATAGAAAAGAGTCCTCCTCTTCATCCTCCTCCTCCTCATATCCTGAACAGCATAGCACCGCTTCTGTTGCTGAAGAGTCATCTGAGCTCCGCCTCCCGTGGTCACCATTGCTATGACCATCAATGCAGTCATCGCGTTGGCCTTGTTTCAGGGTCAAAACCAAAGTGACATTATCTTGGTCATCATGGATTTCACACCAGCCTTCTTCATTGGCATCTAAGTAGACAGACACCGAGTTGTCGTTGTCATTTTCAGCTCCACAGTCTGGGCTTTGAATCCCAGAGTCATCCTCACCCGTGGTCACTTTCCTTCTCATTATCCCCTCTGGCATTTCCACGTCCAGTGGGCTGTCCGTTCGGGTGCCACTCAGACTGCTCAGACTGCGCATGGAGTCTGGAGATGCTGATGACGATGATGAAGATTCTGCAAAGGCACTGGCATCTACAGCACCGCTGTGTAATGGTAGACACATGCCATGGTGGACCCCTTCCGAGGGTTTCATGGTTAGCGCAGATGGCTGAAGTTCACTCATATCTCTACTCATACGCTGAACACAGTGATTCCAGCCAGAGATTAGCCAGCTAGCACTGCTTCATGGCCCATAGCTGCCACTGTATGCTTGGATAAAAGTAGAGGATTAATGGATGTATTACCCAGTTGAAGGAAGGTCATGGTATTTGGGCACCAAGGTGAAGTCCACAATGTCCTAGCAAGAGAAAAAACATGTTAACACCAGACAGACAATATTCAATCTCATAATAAACTTAACTAAAACACTGATTCATAACTAGGATCAACATTTTAGTGAGGTCAATTTTGCAGAAAACTGACCTACATCACATACATCATGTTTGTCCCAAATCATTGCTCCTTTTTTCCTGTTGCTATGTGCCTTTTTCTTTCATTTGTTCTGTTGCTTTCAGGATTTGATGGACCGAATGAGGTCAGTATTAATGATATTCATAAAATAAGGAGATTAATAAGTAAATCAAATACCTATATGACAATGTTGCTCAAGATTTAGATATTTTACCTCTTGTTTCAACAGCTTCTCTGAGCTAGCGGCTAAAGTCCGAGCAGTCTAGACTGTTTGGCCTAAAACTATATATTCAAACTAATTATAATGTTTTAGAAAACCAATGCTAGTTCTATATTTATGAATCAATCCATACAAACTATCACTTGCTGACATGGCTAAACCTTACAGGCATGCTCACTGTTCATCAGGGCAAATACTGTTGCGCATGAGTCCACAAACCCATTTCTACGCTATTCAACAGAGTTTGAAAGGAGAAACATGGACGCTACATGAAGTTAGAGATTATATGTGTTGTTAGACAGAACAAGAGAGACAGAGAGAGAGCACTGCTGCCCTCTGCTGGTCATAGGCTACAGAGTCCAACCATGCTGAAGCATGAAACTGGTTAACCACTGACAGGAACAAAGTGTTCATGATCTGAAGTGCATCAGAGTTTTGGCCTCATAATCACACAAAATGAGTCATTCCCTCCTCAGATTTGCTACCCATAAATACTTTCTCCTCAGGCTCTGAATAAAGTCTCTGTTGGGGAAGTGTTTCTTTACGAAACTGACTGGAAGTGCAAATATATTTCCTGCAAAGCCATGTTTACAACATCCACCCTCAACGCACAAGCAGTCTGCTAATTGTCTCAGCATGAGCGGGTTAACCTTCATACCAAGCGAGGCCAGCATGCTCCATCACAGCTGCCCATCAAACTGCTCCTGCTAATGTGGGTCAGAGAGAAGCTATTAAAAGGTGCAATGGTTTTATTTTAATATTCAGGACACAGTTTCTCTGGCAACGTGGGAAGACGATGAAGACAATGAAGCCTTGTGTCTTCACACAAAAAAGCGCAGGGTGACAGGTTTCACCAAATGGCTCGACTGTTCTGACTTCCCAAATCGGCCTTTCGAACAAAGAACCACTCCCTGCTAAAGGTCACTTGCACAGTTTTGCCCCTTATCCCAAATGTAGTCGATCAGCCAAAACACGTTTTCTTCCAAAACACGTTTCAGTTCCTTCTGAAGTTTTTTCTTATTTAGCTCTTTCTGAAGTTTTCATCTTTGTACTGGAGCTATGAGGCTAATTTAGCTAAATAATGGAAGCTTATGCCTCCCCTGCTAGAAGAACAGAATAGACCAGCATGTTGTGTTTTGGATGCTGGTCTGACCATGCTGGGTGACCAGCTAAACCAGCATCAGACCAGCATAGACCAGCTCAGAATGTTATGCTGCTTCTTTCAGCAGGGTCATCATTTAGCACCCTGCTAACTACAAGCCTAAATCATCAAACACCTGTCACAAACCATGCCGAGATGTCCAGTGGAGACCGAATTACACACTGTTATCTGTAAACATACATAAAAGCACAGGCACTATTCAGGTTTCAGGATGACCGCTACTGTTTTTAGCTTAGCTTTGGCACTTTAGTCAATGTTTTTAGATAACAGTGTGTCAAACAGGGTCAGAAACCACATAATAAAGTCTGTTATAGATCACTGAACATCTCCACATGGTTTGAGGCAAGCGCTGATGATTTAGTCATGCAGTTAGCAACATGCTAATTAGCTTCCATTGCTTGATAGCTGTATTAGCTTTGTAGCTGCAGTGCAAAACTAAAGAACCAAAACTTCAGATATCAAACATGTTTTGGTTTATCGACTATATTTGTGGTAACTATATACATTTTTTTTCACAGAGGAATCAATGTTACCGCTGGTGGTACGTTAGCTAGGGCCTGGCAATGCTATACAGATATGCATATACAGATATGGGACAGCTCAGTTAAACAAGATGGAAAAAAAAACAAGAAAAAAATTTGTTGCTGCAATTTTAAAGCTGAAATTTTTACTTTTTCTGCTAAATGTTGTTAAAAAACAGTCTGAATAGATTAGACACAATTCCATTGTGCCATACTAATCACAAATACACTCACTGTTCAGGTTATTATTGCACTCTATGACCACTTCATGAGCTCCACCTACCCACCAGCAAGGTGGAGCTACAAAGGAGGAGATTCTCATAATTGTTAACATTTTAAGGCACATAAAAATTTGTCTGTCCACAAATACTAACCTGGACCTTTCTCTAAAGGTCACGCCATCTAAACACAACATCTCACAGTAGTAAACAAAAGCACTGAGCCATGTTGTGCTTCAGAGAAGAGCTAAGAGACAATGACAAATAAGGGCAAAAAGGCAGCTAGACAGGCAGGCAGTAAGACACCGAGGCTGTGATACTCAGAGTCAGCAAAGCAGTCATACAGTGAGACACTAAAATGATAAGATCCTAATTCATCAAGGCAGCGAGTCAATGCTAAGCTAAAGCTAAAGAGACAGAGAGACAGCATGTATATCTTCAAACGGTAATTTGATGAAAAACCTAATTTAGACACTTTCTCTCTCACACCAACTGTGGTCAGTCAGCCAAGACACGTTTGGTGTGTGAACTTTGCTTCTTTCGTTTTTCCACTAGAGCTACGAGGCTAATGAAGCTAACAAGCAATGAAAGTGGAAACATACCTATATTCCCAAGGCCCTGTGTTCCCAGGGTCCTGTATTCCTTCGGCCTGTTATATGATACCTCAGTATGATAGATTAAGGAAACCGATAAGAGGGTTCCTAAGGTCACAGTTGAGGTCTTGGGGTCAAAAACGTGATACAGGGAACAACAAAGAGGCCATTTTACAACAGGAATAAGCTTGTCCTTTGCTAGGCTAGCCCAAATGAGCTAATTGGCTGGCTAAGCAAACCATTTTTTCAGAAGTGTCGAGTTTAAGTGTGTTACATTACCTTTTTGTTATTGCTAGTTTAGTAGCACTTAGCTGGCTAGCTAGCAAGTTAGCAGAGTGAAGTCACTTACATAAAATAATAGACTAAATCAATGATGAGGAACTGGGAGCTGGAGTCCAGCACAGTTTGGTATTTTCCCTGCTCTAGCACACCAATTAAACCTGGTAATCAGCTGCTGAGTTAAATCAGGTGTGTTTGAATGGAAAATAACCAAACTGTGCAGGAATCTGGCCCCCCAGGACTGGAGGTCCCCACCCCTGACTGAATGAATGTTCCTTTAGATCACAGTCATATTTGGGCAGGTTTTGGAGAACCAGAGAAAACATGATCGGACTGAAACATGGAGCAATGGGAACAAAAAGTGTGCTTCACATAAAATGGGAATATAGAAGCCTGGGAATGTAGGACTAATTCTGCAATGGAAACTTGTAACTCACCAATTAGCATTATGCTAACTGTTGTCTCAATAAACATGCTCGTCTCAGACCATGAGAAGGTGCACTGTAAGACATATTTTATAAAAATGGGCAAAAGTACAATCCAGGCTTAACATGCTACTTCCCAGACGGCGAACATATATCAGTCCGCTGGCTTTATAACGTCAGCACCCCGCTAACTGCTGGTCCACCCTCGGACCACCCAGATTGCTGCCCTGCATACATGCTCTAACTATAGTTTTTTATCTCCCCAAACAAATTTTTAACGCACACAGTCTTCTATTTTAGAGAATAAACTTGATTCAATTAAGACTAAATTTACTAACTAAACTACTATTTTACAAAGTATAAAGTAAATTGGACTTTAAGTGGAAAATGAGTGATGATAAGCGGAATTTTGTCTAATACTCTGCTTAACCACTAGTGGACCGCCCAGAAAACACTGAGCAAAACGCCATTGGACCGCCAGCTTTGCCATCAGTGGGCCGACTGTGGTCCACTATCCTCTTGCTATCAGGGTTCTTTTTAGCTAGGTGACATACTTTTGTACATGTTTTCTAGATAACAGTATGTCGTATTGTGTCAGTCAGTCTATTTGAGGTATCTTATCAACTTGACACACTTTGAGGTGAGCATGTGATGATTTCGCTATGTGGTTATCACAATACTAATAGATGTTGTTTGAGCTTCCATGGAATCAGCCCAATTCCCAGGGCCCTGTGTTCCCCTATAGAAATGTTCTAGGAAGCTTCTGAGTTGCCTCAGTAATGTCTCCACAAGTTCTTCAGAAGTTGCCCAGATATCACTGAGTGCCTTTACATGCACTTAATAATCTGATAACTGCAGAAAATCAGATTTTGTCAGTAATCTGATCAACACGTTTAAGTGCACTTGAGTAATCAGATAATGGGGAAACTCTAGGTCTACATGACGTAAACATAATGTAAAACTCAAACTTTATGCTGCAGCTTTTTTTTAAACATCACACCACTTTACCTGAAAATATGAACATACATCATCTAGAAGATGAAGAATGTTTAAATCCTTTATTTCGTCAAGCATTTTCGCACATGCACAGACTGAGAAATCCGAAAGAAATCAGAGTAAGAGTTCACATGCACTGAGAAATCTGATTACTGAGCTAAAATCCAGCCTCTTTATCGAATTTCTTAATCAGATCTCTAGACTTTACTCCAATCTAAGAAATCAGAGTTTACACGACCATTTGAATGATCAGATAACTGCAGAAATCTAATTATGCTTGGATTACTGAGTGCACGTCAATGTACTTATTGTGATTTAACACAACATTTGTCTATTACTCAATATTTCAAGACTATGACAATTAATTTGCCACTTTAAACTGGGCTGTATGTAGTAAACTACTATTCTACTATACATTCCTGCTAACATGCTATTTATACAACTAAAGGTTTCTCAGCTAGCAACAACAAAAT